GAAGTATAATAAATATTGCTCGATATGGAAACGATAAAAGTTTCTTTTATTGATTGAGTTTAATTATAAAGGCAAAACCCATAAAAAAAAAAAAAATGACTCTTCAGGTGGGTAGGGGAGCGAGAGCTTCATCCTCGACCTGTCCAGGAAGGTCATCACCGAGAGGAAGAGATGACTCATCAATAGGAGGAACGGTGACTTCCTCTCCAAGGTCGGGAACCTCAGTTGATGGAATTATGGTTAGGGGAGTTGGATCCTCAACCTGGAGCTGGGGCTCGACCTCCTTCGACCTCTCTTTGGTCCTCGCCCTCTTCCTTAGACTCGTCAGAGTAAACATAGGTCTCCCCCCGAGCTTCAACCCTCATCCTTTCAACTTCTTTCTGATAAGCTTGGGGAAGGAAAGAGAAGTCGATTGAAGGATGGGCTTCCCCAATTTCCAGACGAGGAAGACAGATGTTTCCCAGGCCTAAGTAGTAATGGCCTCGTTCAGCTCGTCAATCCGAAGCCTGAGCTGTCTAGCCTCAACTTCGGCCTCTTGGCGACCCACCACCTCTTGGCCAAGGTCGAGCGAAGACTGTTTAGACTTGGCCTCTCAGCTCATGGCAGCCTTCTGAGTTAAGGATAGTTCAGAGTTCAGTTTGTTGTTGGCACCCTATTGTTGTGCCAAAGTCTCTGCAACCTCTACTACCTTAGCTTTCGCCTTAGCCTGAGCACTTTCGATTGCTTTTAGCTTGTCAAGGAATTCCCTTTACTTGACCTGAAGGGTCGCGACTTCCCCCCTGAGTTGCTCGAGCTTAGCACGCCTGGTCTCCTTCTCCTTCTCCTTCTCCTTCACCATCTCCGCAGCCTGCCATTTTTGGTGGTTTGCCTCTAAAGTGTCATTGCATTCCTCGTACAGAAGTTTGCTTACCATGGCAACCTAAAAAGAGAAGACGAGGAGTCAACAAGAAGCAAGAATAGCATGCAAAAGAAAAGAGGGTGCGAACTACCGGTACCTTCGCCAAGTAGCTGTAATTTAAAGCCAACATCTAGGAGGGAGTCGAGTTTTTTACGGCAGCGAATGTTCGCAAGGTGATGCAATCCCTGGCCACTGTGGCCCCAACACTGATATGGTCGGGGAGTTGGTTGATCAGCTCGTCAACCGTAGCTTAGGCCGCTTCGTCTGTTTTCTTATTTTTTGACTAGGACGAGCTAGGTTTACTCCCCCTAGCAGCACCTGCCTCGCTAGTATGAGCGGGTTTCTTCTTGGCTAAGCTTTTGGCCGCTTCTTTTTTAAGGTCGCCAGCTTGCATGGTAACCTCTTTGCCCTAGCCATCATGCCGCTCGACTGCTTTATTTTATCCCGAGCCTCCAGTTGGCTCCGATGTCTTCTTCGCTGGCCCCTTTCGGGGCTTTGTAACGCTTTTCCTGCCACCTGCTTTAGTGGTAGTTGCGGGCTTCTTCGCGCTTGGGCCTCCCCTAAACTCGCCGCTGACGATGTTCGCTGGCTGCTTCATCCCCGAAGCAGTTAGAGCCTTCGTGCACGGCTGCAGAGGTAGCCGTTTTCTTCTTTTTTGGTTTTTCGGCCCATATTTCTGCAAGGAAAAAGGCAAACGAATTAGCAATTTATTTGCACAGGAAAACAAATGCGAGCAAGTAACAACTTAACCTTTCTCCAAAAGTGCTAGAAAACTAGCCTTGTCCCGACAAAAGCCGTACGCTTTCAGGTGAGAAAGCATGAGAAGCTCGTTAATGTTGCATTGATTGTCTGGAAGATCACTAAAATGTTGTAGCCTCTGTAACCTCGCAGCTGGAAGATAATTATGCTTGACGTTAACTGCAAAAATAAAACAGGACGACCAGTCAGAACGTGCAGCTCGAGAACAATCCTCGCATGCACACGGGAAGCCCAAGCCTTACTCACTTCCGCAGCGAAGACAACGATCTCCTGGGCTTCGTAGAAAAAGAACTGTGAATCCTAGTGTGGAACTTTCTTCCGGATGTCAACCAGCCCGTTGAAATGTACTCTCCTCGCTTTGGAAAGGTAGTATGTCTAGTCTTGCCTCTTTTTGAGCCTGTACAAGTGAACAAGCTCTTCGACGGATGGCTCGCCCAAGTCAGTGATCATGCACGCGATGTACGTCACGATAATGATCACGTAAGAATTGGCCGTCAGTTGAAGAGGAACAATGTTGAATCGGCTTAACACATTATCGATATAGTAGTGCAGGGGAATGGATACCCTACACCTAGGGAGAGTCTCAGAGGTTGCTACCCATCCATGTGGGGGGTTCTTCTGAGAATATCCCCTCGGAACCATCAAGTTAAGTTGTAGTGCGTAGACCGCTCTTTTGCATTCAAGATCCCCAAGGGTGATCGAGATTGTGGTTCTTTTCGTAGCCTATGGGCTGAAGACGGCAGAGAGTGAGCCAACTGAATCGAAGCACGATCGGACGAACCCGCAGCGTCGGGGTCCGAGCTTCGGGAGATGAATTCTTCAAAGACCTCGGGAGACAAATCCCCAAGGGTTGCCGAGCCTACTGGCGAATCGAACATTCGGTCTATGGTATGACTACTGGAGGAAGACATGGTTGTAGCTCGCTTCTGGGTACTTGAAAAAAGAAGAGAACATGTGTCAGAGGTTGAACAAATTGACAACCATTCCACACTCGCTTCTATTTTAGGCACCCGAGATAGCTTGCACAATACAACGAAGGTATGCGACCTACCCAGGATACCGACAACCACCGCGTTAAACCTCTCTAAAAGCTAAGACCGTCGAAGATGCAACAAAACCTTAAAACATTCAATATGGCCACTGCAGTAGCCACCCTTTGACGGAGAAAACAAAAAAACAAAAGAAAATAAGGGAAAGAGCCTTACCGGAATAAGGAAAGTGTTAGGAACTCGTGAGAAAAACCATTGTGATGACATAAGAACAACGACAAAGGAGAACTAGAGTCAGAATGACTTTCGGAGTGACTATTATGAGGCTTTTCACCACCTTTTATAGTGGTTTCCATGAGAGACGAAGAGGCGAGGTTTAATCATGGTTGTCGACTTACAGTCGATCCTAATCGTTCATTCATCAAGCAATCTCATCTCGTAGATGTGGCCACGTGTTGACCGTTTGCAAGGAACGATGAACCGTCAGATTGCTATAATGATAACTGTCGTTGCAAGTCGCCTCGACTTCGCGCGTGAACAGTTGTTGTCAGCCACTCACGACAAAACGTAACTAATAAAGGCTGCCGCATCACGACGACACAAAAATTACCTTTATGCCCTGACTATTCATATTATGAGTTTTGACAGGTATCATGAGGAATAAAGATCCAAGTGTGAGGTACGTCGGCCAAGCACAAGGTCGATCATGGGGGCCCGCTTGAACACGCACTCAGAGACTCACTGTTGAAGTCAAGCTTGGCATCAAATCGAGTAATAGTCTTCAAAGCCCGAAACAAGCATCGAACACTAGGGGGTAGATGTTGTATGTGGTTTTTCCGCCAAGCTCAGGCCAACTCGAGGATATAGCTCGGTTCAGAATGAGCTTGATAACTACGATTGATCGACCCAGCATAAGCTCGTCGAGCTATAGCTCGACCCATCATAAACTAGTCGCGAACAATTTAAGGAATCATTCAATCAATCCCAGATTACTTCAGATCCCAAATATTGCGAGAATGACTGGATCAACGGTGATCATTGCGCAATTATAGTGCTCAATTGCGAGGATATTAGAATTATGATTCAAATCAGTTCTAATCCCCTGAATTTCGTTGCTTCCTTTGTATAAATCTTGTATATAAACCCCTCTCAGACAATGAGGAGGGGGTCACGAATTTCAGATAAGAATTGCATTGTAAGCTCTCACAGCAAATACAAACACATAGTGGACGTAGGCTATTAACCTGGCCGAACCACTTTAAAAATCTCTTTGTTTTTAGTTCATGTCATTCATATTCATCACTGATTATCACTAATCACGCACACATCGGTTTCGATCCCGACAAGGTCGATCGAATCTTGCTGGTTGGTGCAAAATTCTGTACCAACAACATATTTTACCTCTATACCACTTGTACTAAGAATAATTAAATCAAAATAATAATTTTTGTAACTATACCTCTATTAAGTTATAATATCCTCATAGTAATAAAATTAATTTGGTACCACAATTATGACTATAAAGAGCTTTATTATAATTAACTATTTGGCTTGCTAACTATCACTAAGTGGCCAAATAGTTTAATAAAGACTTTTGGATGTATTACTCAAGAGGTCTTGAGTTTGATTCCCTTCTCGATTGCTAATAAAGATAGGCGGATAGCCATGGGAGTTCTTACTTGGTCGGTAATTTCAGGGTTCTAAGAGATTAGTTGAGATGCGCGTAAGCTGGCTAGACACCCCTGGTTATCAAAGAAAAAAAAAACTATTTGGCTTCCTCCAAGACCTCCAAACTCAAAAACATTATGGATGTTACGTTTTCACAGTACTTCTATCAATTTATAGGAAACAAACTACCAAATTAGTTGTAAGTCATGAGATTACTTTCCTCCCTCAATTGACAGATAATGCATTTCCAAGGTGTGAAGAACATAAAAGAAATAAACAGAAAGTTTTATAGCAGGACATATAGATTATTTGCGCTCGTTAACTTCAATAGCATTTGCAAGTGGCTTGCTAGCTTTCCAATTCTAATCCAAGACGTTTTTCAAAATAATACAGGCAGACTGGTAGGGACTTTTCATTAGGTTCTGATATGTGTTTATTTTCATGAATTAGTGGCGAATGATATTGTCAATTTCAGTGACAATAATGAATCAAAAATTCATTTAACTTCTATAAAGTTTAGTTTGTAATGTGAAAAAAAGAATAATTGGACCAACTTCATTTGGATTTTAGTTTTGTCTATAAAAAGAGCAAAAATTTCTTGAAAACTGCGAAAACTTACACAGTTTCTTGCTTTCTGTGGACCACTCTTACTACAGTAAATGCATGGCTCAAAAGAAAACCAACACTCAAGGCAAAGATCAAACCAATATATCACATAAACCATATTAGGGAGAAGTGCCAAAGATCAAAAAGAAAACATTTAAAAGAAAGGTAAATAGAATCAAAGAAATTTGAAGGGTAAAGGCAGCTAGCATGTCTAATGATTTTAACAATCTATGCAGCTTTTGCTGTACAAGACGAACAAATGTTGTACAGATCCTGCAAAACACAAGCTAGATCTTCATCAACCTCACCTTCTGTGATCTCTACAACTTCTCTCGCATGGTTTCTCTCCATACCCATCTCTTGATTTGCGTGTCTACCTCGTGATCTTTGCTTCTTCATAGCCTCCCTTCTGCGATCATGATCAGCCATCCTGCACCATAAATCATAACTTAAAATTAAAGTTCATAGCATATTCAACAGTCAACACAAAGCAAGAGGAAAATAGAGAGAGAGAGAGAGAGAGAGAGAGAGAGACTCTTTGGAGAGAGTTAGATGATGAGATTGAGTGATCCCAGATACACATAGTGGAAGGCCATAGGAGCCATAAAGGTTCAGCATGGACTGCATTTTTTTCGGATTGAGAAGAGAAAGATCAAAGAAGAATAGAAGAAAGATTAAAGTAATGGGTATTGTTATACTTGTAATATTGTTTATGATTTTAGGTTGGAATTTGGATAGAGAGTTTTGTCGTCTACACTTTCCTCCTTCACTCTCAATGCATTTAAAGCGAAAGCGTTTTGTGTTTATTGGAACTGTAGAAAAGTAATGATAGCAGATAGAGATGCCTCGTTTTGCCTTTTCTGTGCACAACGCCCCTGTAAAAATGCAGTAATTAGATTCTACTTGTTTATTTTTTTACAGAGGTTGTATCATATTCATGTATGGCTACAAAAGGAAGAAATTGAACACTTCTTTTATTCTTTCCCTTTGGGATTATCAATGGATGAATTTAATTTGGTCAATCAATTATGTTGTAATTACTGAAAAACTGATTTTACACAAAGGCATAAGTGAAATTTACAGTTTGAAGGATGTGGAAGGACAAGAATTTTATTTCGTTTGTTAGTATAGAGTAGATATATCAGAATTTCAGTGATGCCGCTTCTGTTTCACATGTGATATGATGCAAAATTGTTTTGCTTTTCTCATCAAAATTGTACGGATCCCATGAATTTTTTTTTAATCATCAAGGGTGTCCGAGTCAACTTGCGTGCACTAATTCCCCAAGGCCTTGGAACTGTCGGTCGGGTAATAGTCCCAATGGCCACCCCTGTTAGTGCTTAAGGGAACTTGAACTAGGAGTTTATGAAACCTTTATTTACTATTTTACCATCAGACCACCCATTGGTGGTTCAAATCTCATGACTTGATCATCTTTATTCATAAGACTAAGCTAAATATACCTCTGAAATTGGCTCTGTATATTAAACATAAAATCAATGTTTTAAAACCTGGCCTAGTCCGTCGGACCAGTAGAATCGGGACCCGGGGCTTTCACCTGGTCGAGGTACTAATTTCCTATTCACCAAAAACCCTAGAAATTGGGATGATGATCGGCGAACAATTGAAAGACTGGATGTTGAGGTTTTTGAAGAGGAAGGGCTGGTGAGTGCAATGGTGGCAACAGAGGTGATTTTTGGTGAGTGAATCGACTAGAAATCCAAAAAAAAGGGCGATGGCAACAATTGGCTTTTGTCGATGATTGGCTAGGCAAACAAGGGTGGGGTGAGATGGGTTCTGGTTAGGAGGCTGAGGAGAATATTTTCATGGTGATGGGAAGGGTTGTTGATGCCAGCGGTGGATCTGACCTGGATGTCGACGTCGGCGTTGGTGAGATTTGGCCGATTTTAGCTAGATCTTGGGTAGATTTTCTAGGAATTGGGCTCAAGGGATGATTGAGTTTGCATTTGGTGTGTTGCCACTACCTACTAGTCGACTATCAATTTGTATTTAGGGTGTGTTTGCTAAATTTCAAACATGTAGGGACTTAAGATTTTTAGGGGTGTATTTGCTGAATTTTAAACTTTTTGACATTCGGTTTGACTGGACAGTCAAACTGGTTAAACCGGTCAACCCAGGACCCAGCAACTTTGTCGTGTTTCACCCTGGGTTGGTTATTAAAACATTGCATAAAATATCACAAACGCTCTTTTGAAAACTAAAATCCAATTCTTAATACAAACAACAATTTGATATTTTGATAATTCCTTTAATTGCCTACCAAACAGTTTTATATGGGGTAATTTCAACAGTTTTATATAGGAGGCGTTTGGATGATATAATGTTTTATTATAGGGGTTTATTATATTAACGGAAAGAAATATTACCTTGAAGATTACTGAGAATGTTTAGAAAATGTGTTTGGTTAGTTCAAATAAATTGGTGAATAATATGTTTGGCTAGGAGGATAAATGGATGAGTATGTTATATAGATTACTAAATTGCCCTCCTTTTTAAATATTAATATAATAGTATTTTTTATTATTATTATTATTATTATTTGAATCATTTCTTTTAACTCTCTACATTTGAAATTTTACTAAAACACCCCAACCATATAAAACTTTAATTTATAGCAAAATCACCCCCACCCACCCCAAGCCACTACCGATAGTCAGTCAGCATCGTTGGCAGTCGATGAAATGGTGCATGATTGGCTATATATGGCACGCCGTGCGTCGACAAAGCCGAAAATGGTCATGGATCACAAATCCATGACCTTTTCACGGCCAGATCTATGGCCATTTCATAGCCAAAGATGTGGCTATGAAACGGCCACAAATCTAGCAAATGAAAAGGCCAGATCTTTGGCCGTGAAATGTCACAGCCAAAGATCTAGCATTTTCATGGCCAAATTTATGGCCGTTTCATGACCACATCTTTGGCCGTGAAACGGCTGTAGAAAGTCACGGCCAAAGATCTGGCCTTTTCATGGCCAAATTTATGGCCGTTTCATGACCACATCTTTGGCCATGAAACGGCCGTAGAAATGCCAGATCCATGGCCGGAAAAGGCCTTATCGAGGCATGACAAGCCAAATCCTGCTGGTCCTGCACCATTACGGTAACTGACGCTGACGACCGAAGGTGGTGAGTCACTGCTGGCAATAGTCTTGGGTAACCGGGGGTATTTTGTTAACTTTTAAACTTTTTTATGGTTGACATGTTTTAGCTAATTTCTCAAATGTAGAGGGGCTGGGTAATTGTTATTTGGTAGACATTTGAAGGTAATTGTGTCCGAAATGGTTTTTAATTGAGGGCAAAATAGGAAGAAAAATCATATTACCTCAGTAATGTTTTAATAACAGTCTCTAGCCAAGTAATAAGATTACCCCTCACATTACCAACAGTAACCATTATTTGCAATAAAAGATTATCGTAATATTTTATTACTTGTAAACCATACATATGAATCTTACAAAATAAACGAATATTACCTCAGTTATCTTATTTACCTCCGATCCAAACGGCCCATAGGATAACTTCTCTGACCTCTGTAATAGTATTTTCCACTATCATCAAACGATATAATCTACCATTAATTCCTTGATAGAATAAAAAATTGATGATTGGTTAAGACCCTGGAAAATTATAATGTTAGGTCACCTTCACAATGTTTCGCTTACAGTTGTCTCAATCTTTTTGGTAAGATATCCAATTTTATTTTATTTTATTTTTCCCCTGAAGCGGCATGAACAATTGTCGTTTTATAATGGTAATAGTTTAGGGTATTATATATTTTATAAATTAATTATATAGAAACATAGTAGTGTGATATTTTTGAGGTGTGATAGTCTCCACATGTAGATGTTTTGCTACCTCAGCCTCAGCCTCACCTTCTTGGTATCATCAAGCTTGCCTAGTTGTCTTGCCCATCAATATATGCCTATCATTTAGGTAGCAGTCTACATCCTTATTCAATTATTTACAATTACTTACTTTTAATTCTAATATTCTCCAATTTTTTTGTCTTTTAATGAAAAAGCTGTCCAGGACAAATTACATAAACATCAACTAATTTAATAAAACAATGGAACTATCGAATAAGTAAGAGTTCAAATAGATAACCATATTAGCAATCAAGGAAAAACTAAAACTTAAGACCTCTTGAGTAATACATCAAAGAGTCTTTATCGAAACAGTCGACCACCTAGAGATAGTTCACATTCTCCAACTCTTTTCTATAAATCTTCTGACTTTGATCAATACATATGGATTCTATTTTTATGACTAGTTGAGGTTGTTATAGACAAAAGTCTTGTTGATTTTGGAAGTGTTTTTACTATAAAAAAAAAGGAAAATGTTATTCTTATAAATGACTGTGAATCCTTGAATTCAAAATCCAATGCTCAACAGTAGGCCACCAAAATAGTAGACTCCCCATCAAACAGAAGGGTTGAAACCAAAATAGATGGAAGAAAGAGCCCACAACATGTACTGTAAATAGATTAGTAAATTGGTCCAAACACCAATAGCAATCATTTTCAAGAATTTGTCCCGTTTTGTTTTCAAACTCCATTATTTCATTTGTAATCATTAAAATTTGTAAGTTTATATTGGGTAGACGACTTTTTTTTAGCCAATAGACTTTTAAAATATTATTTTATTATTTAAATTTATATTTTTTTTAATTCTGATATTATCGTGATCTCACATAACTATCATTCTCTTTCTCAATCACTACTCACCAAAACTCCTCAAACATTATTCCCATTAACCCCATCAATCGTCAATAATTGAGCTATTAGGGTTTACGCAGCTACTCCTCCCAAGTCAAATTCTGATCAATCTCAATCACTAAAATCCAACATTCCACCACTAAAAGATTTATCGACATCTCCTCTTCAAAAGCTTCAATAGTTTAGATTGAGTTTGCTCTCTGTTCACTTCTAGAATAAAAATTTGGATAATAAAATGATATTTCAAAAATCTGTAGTTGAAAAAGTGTTATTAAGTCATTATTTGGGTGGGGAAAAGTCCTTTTAACTCACTTATATTGGCAAATACATGTCACGGTGTTTACCTCAGCATTTATGAACAGGCCCACCTCTCTTAATCATCCACCAGACATAAAGCAGCCCATTAATAGCTAGAGAATTCCTGAGCCAGTTATGATGATATGCGGTGAACAAGACCATAGGATGAGCTTGTGATACAGAACCCGTATAGCCAGTTAAGTCAAAATCATCCAAGTTATTGAACATCATTTCCCCAACAAAGAGAATCGACCATTGCTTCCGGGGCACTTTTGGAACCTTGCTTGGATACTGGGCTGCAGAGTTTTACTTTAGTAAAGAATGTCAATTCTTTCAAGTATGATTTGATTAACAGTTTGAAAGTGATACCATTGTTATTATTAAAGTGAACTTGGTCTTGATACTTTTCCAAGGAAGTAGAAGTTTATGTACACCCTTTATGGCCGGTTGTGGCCGAGGAGGGGTTTGAACCTCTGGTGGTTCGTAGCCAAGT